TTATTTTCAAAACAGGTGAACACTAGCTTCCAGCGAAAGAATTCTAAAATTACCACGAACTTGCCCGACTTTACCCAACGTTATTTTTTTTCTAATCAGCACGGTCTAATTGAGAAATGTGTTTTTCCGTTGATCATTTTCTAAAGTTTTCAAACGAAAAAAAAAAAATAACACAACATCTCCTGCCGTTGTTCAGGATCAAGGGCGCAAGGTTGCACACTGGAAATACCTCGCGCGATGCACATTCTCACCTATCAATAACTCAATCAATAACTCAGTCACGAGTTTATGTTTACTTTGGGACTAACCGGTTTTATATTTATTTACTGCATCGCTGGTAGAGTGTCGACACGAACACATCCATGCGAAACCATATTGAATTTATTGCTTCGCTTTACGTCTATAAATAGGCCTTGTTGTTCATCTACTGTACACTGAATACACGAGACACTTCCATGAAGCCCTCCCTTTCCGAACACCCTAATATCCGAACGTTCTACTATCCGGCTGATCTGTTATCTGTCCTTCTAGCAATAAATAGGTCGACCAGACCTAATTCGGATCACAACAGTTTCTGACAACATTCTATGCGACGTAAAATTAAAAATATGACGAACAATTAAAAAATGTAACCTCGCGATGCCACGATTATATGGATAAGAATTTATTAAATAAATATTGAAACGAACTAATAGATTTTTTCGCCCCTGATTGGTGTGACGATTTTAAATTACTTAATAATTAATTATTAATCTAGACATTAATCATAATTAGACTGCAGTTCTTTACGCAACACAAACATTTTCTAACAAAATTAGACGTAGACTGTGGATCTTTACGCAAATTCTCATTTTCATACGTTATTTTACGAAAATTATAATTAAAGATAGGTTTCCTTCGTTAAGTAAAAGATTGCTCATTGTAAGAAGAAAATTGAAATACTATTAGACCTTGCTACTTACATTTGTGTAGTTTTGAAAAATCCATTATATGTCATATAAATGTTTAAAGATCTACAGTCTAATTAGAAGAAACAGAAATAAACTAAAAATATATATATATATATTTTTTCTTTCAGTAGCTTTAATAAATTGAAAAGAAAACGCATTGCAATGCGTTTTTACTTTGTTATTTTATTCGGTCATTTTTATCATCTATTCCTAAAATCCGCAGCCTAGTTTTGATAGAGCTCAAAGTTTTACGATTACAGATTCAATATACCTTTTAATTAGGGTTTGCAGAATGCAAGGAAGTTGAAAGAGTATTCAATATCATGCATTATAATTTTTTAATTTTTCTTTCAATAAACCTATTACTAGAATTATCAATTATCATGCTCCCAAACGAAATTATTTATATTACCAGGATGGGGTATGGTACACAATTTAAAGTTTGCTATTGCCGTTGAATAATTTAATAAGAAATCCTTAAATATAAATTATGGATTCTCAAAAATCATCGTCAGTTGATAATGTGTCAACCCATTAACCGCCGCAATTCAAAAATACAAAAAAAAAATTGAAGTTTACAATTGATAACCATAAAATCATTTACAATGATTTAAAACAAAATAGCGGGAATTTTTAATACTTTCATGTGTGAAGCACATGATATATTCTCACTATTTGAATACCTATATTTTATTTAGAAGTTGCAGTTTTTAAAAGAAAAAAATTTGACAACGTGACCCAAAAATTGGACATTGGCGGATAATGGGTTAAGATTAAAAATTCTGTGTATGAAAATTCGTCGAGTGCCGTAGCATCTGGAGTAAGTAGAAACGGCAAGCCACGAACAGACACTGAGCAATATCGCATGAATTCTGAAATCCAATTTTCTCGAAATTGAACAAGAACACTGCTTTCTGTAAGTACTCCTGTTAATAAACACAATTGCTTTTGCTCGTAAGTATACTGTTCCAGCGTATAAAAATAATTTATTTAAGCCGTTGAAAATTTCCTAGAACGTTAAACGAGAACAAAAGAATAACATCTTTCTTTATGAATCCCCGCGGAGCCGACTCGTGCACTGGAGGGTTAAACGAAAAAATTTTCTGCTTCCTTTTTCGACTTATTTTTGGTTTTAGTATAACCTCCTGCACAGTTGTACTGCCCATCCGGCGTTGTCGCTCTCTGTAGAATAATTTAAAACCTTTTTTCTTCTCTAAACGCCCCGAATATCCTCTATGATACTAACGCGGACAGAGTAGAATCGCAATTTTCGAGGTTGTTCACTTATTTCGGAAGCTTCGCGTGCGTGAACAAGAACGAACAACAACGGTCCAACTACCCGGAACAATTAAGTTTTTAAAAACCGGTTTCGTTGCCGGAAATGAGTTTCGCATCAGTTTTGTTTTTTTTGTATGAACATTCAAACCGTAAATTTTTTCCGGGCCTCTTGATTGTGCGATCTGGCGTATTTAAAATCGTTTACACGAAAAGTCATTTTTAGCGAGCGTGATTATTAATACAAGAATTTGAATATTTGACTTGAAAATATCAGTAAGTGGAGTATTAGAAAGTTGCGCTTGATATCGACCCACGACTTAAACCAGGAAAAGCTCGCATAAACGGCTCCCGAAGGCAACAGTAAATCCCTCGGTTGCCTATTGCTAATGAAAACGAGATTTTTATTGTGATTCACAAAACTACACAGTGGCAAATTGATCGATCAGTGGAAAATATTTTTCTGATTCAAATGAGCCCAAATAAGCCATAAATCGGATGTCAGTGTGAATCGGTATGAAAACATTTTACCCGAAACTCTCCGACAAATTTTGTCTCTGTAATTCGACGAATTCATTGCGCGGATATAGTAGTATTAGCGCGTATCACAATGTTACAGATAGCGTATGTGTTAGAACACGTTTCGAGTTGCCTGGATACACCTGTACTTGCAATACAAGTAACCCACGTATACCGCGGGAATTAGGTTCCGGAAAAATGTCAGGTTATCCGAGACTCCGAGTGTGCGTAAAAAGTAAATTTCCCGTGCAAAAATGGTTCTTCCAACGAAATGTACGAATTTCATCCGCGAAATATAAACAAATATGCTTCTTCCGAATTTTAAAAATTTCATTCAAAATTAATAACACTCTGAAACTTTGTACGACATATACGATCGTTTGCAGCATATTCTGAAGGCAGCTGAGGGGAAAAAGATTCCTTTAACCAAAATATGCAGGACTTTATCCATGAAATTAAATAGTAGTACACTGGTAGGATTTTGGAATAAATGTTGGGCTTTTAAATAAATTAATTTGATATTACAACACGTAAATGTGCAATGTAGAAAGACATAATCTCGATCAGCAGAAAAACCGACATCTTCATTGTACAAGATGTTAATAATAACTAATAAACATTCGGAGTTAATAATGACTAATCAGATTGAGATCGTACAGACGATACATATACGTTGTGTCGATTATTTTCCATCACTTACTTATATTGAATTTCTAAAATTTTATGTAATAAAATATATGAATTAGAAACTGGAAGAAACTGCCTCTACGTGAAAAGCTTAATGAATTTCGTGTAATAAAATATACAGTTAAAAGGTGGAGTTATTAATATTAATAGATTTGTAAACAGAGTGAGAGAGAGAGAGAGAGAGAGAGAGAGAGAAATTAAAAATCCTGGCTGCAAATCTGAATGAAGCTAACTCCTCGTGAAAGAACAATTCTTTTAACTAGAACATACAAACTGTATTCATAAAATCAAAAAATAATATACTCATATTGAATTTCGAGAACCATATTCAATAAAATACATAAACTAAAAAACAAGATTATTCAAGTTAGTGAACTTGAAATTATACCAATTGCGAATAAATTAAGTAGATATCGTCAGCTGTGTCTGATCATAATTTACCTTCGTGTACATTTTTCTGTGCATGCGTCCGGCAAATAATTAAAGTAGATTTTCTGGAAAGTAACGGTCGCAAGAAAATATCTAACCGTAGAATTTTGACAGAATTTTTCACACAGAATCGTCTCGTTTCTGGTTATACCATGAATACCGAAACACTCCGGGTATTCTGGGATGTATGACATACGTCTCTTTTCTCTGTGACATGTTGCACAGTGAGACACCTAATTGCCACTTCCATCATTCCATATTTTTGTGAGCATGTATACTACGTGTCCATGCGCCGCGTTATGGGAAACTGGAGATCGCGTTATACAAAGATTGCTACAATTTGTATACCGCGTTATACGATGATGCTACCTACATATTGCTACAAAACATGATTTACATCTATCTCTCTCAGTTAAAATCAACCAGAACAATTGTAACGCTATTACTACAAAAAAAATAATCAAACACAATTGTGTCAAGTTTCTTATTTCATATGTTTTAAATTTACGATCATAGTTATTATAGTAATTAATAATTAATAGTAATTAGTAATCAACAGTTTGTAAAATCAATTTTTTTTAGCAGAAATGCATTTATTTTTTAATAAATTAGATGGGTGCAAAACTTTTTGGGGGTTTTTTGTAAGCAAATAGATTATGTGTTATTTTAGTAAAAGAAATTCATTCAATCAGTCGTAGTCGAATTTCTCCACTGTAAAATGCTCCTGATCTTCATTCAACAAACATTGAAATATTTTTCCATTTAAAATATATATTTCGAAGTTTGGGATCGGCACAGCTGCCTCTCCGAACACGTCGCATATGTTACAGTTTTGTAAAACTTGCTCGTCGTAATTACATGTAAATGGTATCTCTCAGCGAAGGCACCGTTATGCAGTGTATTAGTTCACTTTGCACTTGCACTTTCTTTTGAAAAAAACGAACTTAGTTTTCGGAAAAAGACCAATTTGCATTTGAAAAACTGAATTTCCTGTTGGCAAAACACAACTTCTTGTTGGGAAAACAGACATCCTCGGGGATGAATTAATTTCTGTCCGGAAAAGCAAATTTTCTATCGGGAAAATCCGACAAAAGCGAAGGGGATGTAATGTTGAAGTTTGGATGTATTGCAATGTTTCAGAATGGACAGGCTGCTGAAAGATATGAATGTGACGTGGCGATGACAAGCCTGATCTTGGAAAACGCAGACTTGAACCGACTTTTCCCAAAATGTCGGCCTAGGGGTGGCCCACCCCCGAGTCCGGGGGCCTCCACGCAGATCAGTCAGCCGCATGAGAGCCTCTGCCAAAAGGAGGCCGCCTCTGTTACCACCAACCTCACGACTAGCCTCACGAGTACATTCGCGACTACGTTCGCAAACACTCTCACAACCACCCTCGCAATCGCCTCCAAGAACACACATTCGAACCACTCACGCGCGATACCGGAAGACATGATCGACCTCGAGCGCGATATTTCCGATAGGTAAGCAAACTACGATTTAAAGCTTATTATTCTTCATCAGATACACCATCAACCCTTAACACGTTAACTGCCACGTTACCCATATGTAATATGGGTGATGGAATTATTTGTTCAGATTTCAGAATGAATTTTTACGCTAATCGATTCTATATCCCTTTAGTTAGGGTCTGCAAAATGCGAGAAGGTTCAAAGAGTATCCAGCATCGTGCATTTTTAATTTTTTATTCTTTTTTCATTAAATGTATTGCTTTGATCTGATGGAATTTCTCAGGTTGCTAGATTGACATTCAAAGTGTTAATTGGTATAATGATTTTTACAAAATTGACTGGTATACTAGGGTTATAATGAAGCCCAAAGTTTTATACTAATAGATTCAGTGTACCAAGCTTAGTTAGGGTCTACAAAATGCGAGTAGGTTCGGAGTATTCAGTACCACGCATTTGTAATTTTTAATTATTTTTTCATTGAATGAATTGTTTTGATCTGATGATTTTTTAAGGTTGCTGAATTGGTAGTCAATGTTTTAACTCTGGTATGATGCTTTCCATAAAGATGACTAGTATATTAGGGTCACGATAGACCCTAAACGCAGCATTCGTAGTTTATTCATAGCTAGTATATAAAATAATAAAAACACGGAAATTAAACTTTTCTCCAAAATGTAATAGAAGTACAATGTTAGGAGTCTTTTAAGACACCAGTAATAGCAGTCAAGAGTTAAATAATTGTATCTTACTTCTCAAATTCAAAGTCAGAAATTATGGGAGAAAGCCAATACTACTTAAAAAAAGTATTTCAGTCTAATAATCCAAGAAA